AAATACCTTACAGACCCCAAACATTTGAATGGTAGTGTATGTCTTCTTTATGGTGCAGGTTTTACATCAATGTTACAATGTTGAGTTTATGTTCAATTTGTGAGTATTTGATCATCTATTTAATTACTAATTAATATAATAATGGTGAACAGTGCTTAACTGTGTTTCAGATTCTTTGAATCAGCCCATCCTGCACTGAACTGCGTTCTCTAATGAGCCAATCATCTGCTTTCTGCATGTCTCATTGGACTGTTCATAAATGCCTGTCTTTATTGAGAATGTTGCATAGTTTGTGTCTCTTAAACTTAGGTCTCCTTCCTCTGTGCCTCTTAAGATCCCGGTGGAATCTAGTCCTCTCCATGTAGTTCGCTTGGCGTAATATGCATTTCTTAAAGAAACAAAAGAGACAGAAAGAAAGACAAGACTTTTCTGTTCTACTGAAGAAATTTTTGTGAGTTTAAGGGAGAAAATCTTAGAAAACAAGATTGTTTTCTGTAGTCTTCAATCTGTAATACAGGGATTTGGGGGGAAAGAATCACATATAAGAAAAATCACATACAGATGTTACATGAATTTGGCAGACACTTGAAACAAAACATGAAAGTTTCTCTGTAACTCTGAGCTGTAGAGAAGCCGTGTTTTCTAAGACTCCTCCCTTAAACGAGATCTATGTTTTTTTTAGTGTCATATTTTACATTTGACCCTGTAGTCTGGGGCTGTGAAGAGCACTAGTGAAATCTTGTGTTTATTCTCATACACAGATTCTGTTGAGTTCTGTTTCTGAGTTGTCTGTTTGTTTGTTTGTTTGTTTCTTTCTTTTTGTTTTCTCCTCCCCCCTCATTCGCTCATGTCTTGGTTGGCGTTTGGTGCTGTATAACCGTGATTGCGTTACCTTAGCAATAACAATTGGTCGTCTTGGTTACGTTTGTCCTCAAGAGGTGGCACCCATGCTACAGCAGTTTATAAGACCCTGGTGTGTATTATTCAATCTTTTATTTCATTCATTCCCTCTTTCTGTCTATCTTCTGGCTTTTCTCCCTACGGTTCTCTCTCTTTCTTTCTCTCACTCGCTCAATCTCTCTCCAAACCTTGTCCCAGTGTTCTTGAAAAGGCTCCTGCTTTTCTTCACGCCTTGTGCTAGTATAGAAATGGCCAGGATTTTGTAAATGCAGCATAAATTTCACCAGCATAATATTTATATTTTCTTGTGAAAGCGACTGAGCAAGAAGACATGGTAGGAGGCCTATTCAAGACATTTGAGGGAAGGTATCCCTATCTTTCTCTCTACCTTTCTCTCTGTTCTGTATGATTCAGTCTAAATCATTGCCAACCATGTGACTAACCCTGTCCCTCTAGGTCTTGTCGTTTAATTTGCCTCAGTAGCACCTTCATGTATTCTCAATTGATTTATTTCAGTTTTCACTTCTGTTTTCGTCTTTTATTGTCACTATCTAACTACTAATTGAGTGCATGGGGTAATATCAAATGCTTGCTGGATTTAGGAAATGGAAGCGCTAGTTAAATGGATAAAAAGAAGAGAAATGGAAAAGCTTCTTTAAAAAGCATTTCTCCTCCCCATTAAATGCAGAGTCTTTTAGCTGCATGATTCTATCCCAGATTGCTTGCCCCCAAATTTGCACTAGTTTAACGCTATAAGCTGACAGAATACATGGTGCTATATGGACATTGTATTTGTCTTATACAGAATACATCTAGGTAGGTTGTTTTACTGCAAAAAAGCAGCTAAAGATCTTTATAAACATTCATAATTACAAAAGGAGGTAGATGCATATGATTAAGAACTAATAATAACGATAAAAAAAAAGTTAGTATGGGATTGTCAGGAAATATTGCAAGAAACTAAACTTCAGGTAAAACAAAAAAACTACTTTTTGGTTTCAACAAGAGAATGTTTTATTTATAAAGAAGATAAAAATTTGGTTTTCTCGATTGACCAGTCTCTGTGATTTAAAACGTTTGCTAGTCCAAAGGTGCTCTGAGGTGGTAGTCATGATATTGTGTTGAGTATGTGTTAATCCACATGCACCTAACCGCACAGGCTTGTTATTTGAAAACTGGTTCTTCCCTTGACTAGGTGCACTTCTCTGCGCAATATAAGAGACAATGAAGAGAAAGACTCTGCGTTCAGAGGAATCTGCACCATGATCACGGTCAACCCTGGTGGTGTGGTGCAGGTACAGCACATTATTCTGACTGATGTCTCTCTGAGTGCTTTGATAATTGAAAATGATCCTCTTTGTTTTCTTTACCAATTTATAGGACTTCATATTTTTCTGTGACGCTGTTGCATCCTGGATGAACCCAAAAGACGATCTTCGAGAAATGTTATATAAGGTAGAGCGCTGTAAGATGAGAAAACCTTCAAGATGATTATGGGTGCATGCCTCATACTTAAGTGTGTGTTCCCTGTTAGATCTTGCATGGGTTTAAGAACCAGGTTGGAGATGAGAATTGGATACACTTTTCTGACCAGTTTCCCCTTCCACTCAAAGAGAGACTTGCAGCCTTCTATGGGGTGTAGATGTTACCTGATTGAAGAGGTACATTTCCATGAGATTTTCTAAGCTAGCCAATCTATTTAGTGTTACAGTTTCTTTGCCATGAAGTATATATTCATGCTTGCTAAATTCGAGTGTATATTTTCTATACTCAAATTTAGCAAGCATTCATCATAACAGTAGTTAAAAGTGTATTATATAAAAGAAAATGTCTTATGACTAGGCCTCTGTGCACAGTAACATGCAATATATATATATATATATATATATATATATAAACACAATTATTCAGAGATTTTTGGCCTGTAATTACTAATTGACATGAACACTCTTTTACAGTATTGGCTAATAGTTGGCTAATGTTATAATAGTAACAGTAGTAATCGTTTTTTTGTTGTTTAAATAAGTTGTATAAATTAACATTGTTAATTTGTTTGTTCATGTTCATTAATAATGCATTATCTAATGAACAATTTATAAATTAACATTAAAATGAACTTTGAATGATCATTATTGTAATATGTTACTGCTATCTATTTACTAATGATACTGTACATGTAAAATGATTCTAATCTGATCTCTTTCTCTCTTGTTCTGCAGCTTATTCACTATGGGAGAGGATGGGAACCTCTGATACCCAGGGCATATTTTGCCCTTTTCCTGGGGGGAAGGGTGGTCTAGCAGGGGTAGGAGCCATACGGCCCACTGGACCCCTGTAGACAGGGTGGGAGGGAAGTGTTAGCTAAGGCACTAGTCAATGACACCTTGCCAAGCCAAACCTAATATAGGGAGGAAAGCTTTTTCATCATGTCATAACAATCAGCCATGAGGGCAAAAACAAAATACATTGTTAGTGTTCATTCACCAGAGCACTTAATGTAATGGGACATCCAGTGGTAACAAAAAAACAGTGACACGAAGATATGTGTAAACTCTGTAGGAACGTGCCTGGAGACAAGCTCTGAAGCTTCTAAAAAAAAAACAGGTTTTGTTTATTTTCTGGACTGTATCATTTAGGGGTGGGTGTGACGTAAAGTCCTATGCATGGGGTGATGTAGGGTATAGCTCGACTGCATGAAAGTGTGCAGACCATGTTTTGTGTGCCAGCTATGCACAGCAGTAGACGGTAAATATTTAAAGACGGTAAATGCTAAAAACGTACCATATTTTAGAGGCTCCGTCTAAAAGATAACACAACGTAACTAGAAATGTAACTCCTCTCATATCATTGATAGTGAAAGGGTTTTCATCTTTGCAAATGTTTTGGTCGGCAGTGATGCAAAGATAAAGGAATAAAAATCTGAATAACTGCATAACTTTATTTTTAGTTAGCATGCGCAAAGCGAGAGGGAAGACTCCATATTAACGTAGTGAAGATGTTTGAATGGTTCAAACAACTGCTCTATCACTCTGTACGAGGCTTTAATGTTCCTGAGTCACACTTTCTGATTTCCAGCGTGGCTTGACATGGATCCAAACTAGTGAACCCTAAACGCACATATTGTTCACATTTGAGACATCAGCGATTTCTTTTTGCTTAGTTTGCTCAGAGCATGAATTTGAAGATGCTTGTGATATCTTTTTTTTTTTTTTTTTTATTATTGGGTTAATCT